GGCCAGTTTTTATCAGTGTTGCGCAGCAGCACCAAAGGGTGGGGTGAGCCGGACGTTAGCATCGGTATCAAAGTCCCGGCCTCTGTCAGGACTGACTCGATCCTCATTGTTCCGATAATGACACGAGACACGTCGGAGAGCAGGAGAGCGTCCTTACAGATGACATCAGCGATATGTGCTCCTGTCTAAGTGCGTCTGTAACCACATGTTCACATGTTTAGAGTAAAAACCTGATAAAGGCCAATTGGATCAATTTACATATAGTTATATAGTCCTTAATGTTGTATTTTACAGCCACATCTGGACACTAGCAAACATATAATACTGATATTGAAGGGCTTAAAAGAGCAGGGAGGGGTTAAGAGAAGAGGCTCTTCCACAGTGTGTTTTCTCCTCTTCCCCTCACCCCCCAACCACTCACACATGGCCCCTCACTGAACCTGGTTCTGCTTCCTGTTAAAAGGCAGTTTATCTTTCCCTCTTCCATCTATGGTTTGCTCATGAGGGTTGTCTGATAGTTGGGATTTTCTCTCCATTATTGTAGGGTCTTTACAGTATAAAGTGCCTCGAGGCCACTGTTGTTGCACTAAATGAATAAATCTGAATTGTGTTGGAGACACTTTGCTGTGAGTGTGGAGATTTGTGCTTTTGCTACAGTTTCAGTGGGTAGAAAAAAGCCCCACCCCTCAGATTTTCCTTAAAAAATGCTAATGAGGCATGTAACCAAACTGCTACGCCTAATTTTAAAACCTGACTGGTAGTATTAACGCCGTCTGCCTTCCACAGGAGTCAAAGACTTCTCCAACTGGCCCACGATCCCTCAGGTGTACTTCAATGGCGAGTTTGTGGGCGGCTGCGACATCTTTCTGCAGATGCACCAGAACGGAGACCTGGTGGAGGAGCTGAAGAAGCTGGGCATCCGCTCTGCAGTGCTGGACGCAGAGAAAGAAGCCAAGTAATGGACGGGTATAAGCGTGAAGCGGCTGACTCACCCAAAGGCGCATTTATCAGGTTGAACCCCCCCACACTGCCGCCGCCACCACCTTCCACCACACACACACACACTCAGTCCCCGAACTAAAAGAAGTGGCTATTGTGTATTCGATATTACAGCTTTGTTTTTTCCAGCTGAGGGCAAAGTGGCACCACGGGAGCGATGAGAGCGAACCCCAAAAAGCAAAAGCTGTGGGCCAAATGAAAGCTCCATGGAGCTGAACGAGAACATCGTTACAATAAGTCCATCCTGTTGTAACAAAAAGCTTTAATACTTCTGCACCTCCAAGAAGAACTGTGACATCAGCCCCTCACGCCCACCTCAAACTGCCAGCTGACTGTGACGTGTTTAAGCTGCCACCTGAGCGCTCGCTGCGCTCTCACCTGGTTACATCAGTCCTCTGCGATCTTCCCCTCGCCGCTGTCCTCCACGCTCAGTTTAAGACCAGATGAGCTTTAGACTTGCCTAACTGTACCACGCCTAAGTTAAGGTCATTATTCACGCTGCCTGGGCCTCATCGGCTAATGATGTCATCACGCTCTTAAATGCACTGCCTGTAGTTTCAGGAAACAAGAACAAAGAGGGGACAACGTGGCTTCGTGCTGGTATGAATATCTTCTCTTTAATGAAGCCACTGATCGATCACTGGACAGTCCCCTGTTTGTTCTTCCTGCCTGGAACCACGAGGAACCTGTCAATGTCAGGATCCACTGAAACGTAACATACCTGATACCTGATGTCCTTTTATTCTTTTTTTAAACCACCCTGAAGATGACAGATTACTGCACACCAGCCGAAGCAGTTAATGTTACATCTGTCTGTATTTCACTCTAAAGGTGAAGAGTCAGAGCACCTCACATTTATCAGTCCGAGATGATCCTCCTGCTGCAGACAGTCGTATTATCAAAGCAACACGTAGTACACTGTAAGATATTGTACAGCTTATTATTAGATGTACTTCTGACACATGTAATCAATTCTGCACTGATTAAATATTTTGTGACACAAACGAGTTGTCGTGTCGTGCCTCATGCATGTCGGTCTTTCGTAAGCGAGGTTACTCACAGTCGTTTTTACTGCGAGCTGGGCCACACTTGCAGTAATGTGCAGACGTCATGAGCCACATCATTTCCTCGGGTTTTACTAAGAATTTGAGAAATGGGTGTTTTTAGTTTTTTGATTATTTTTTAAAAA